CCACCTCAGATCCTTTGCACCTGCTGCTGGGTCTTTATGTTCTACACCAAGACAGCTATACGGCCTGCTTCCTCTCTTCTTTCCATCTCTGCTCAAATGTCACAGCCACAGAAAGGCCTTCCCAGACTATGCTATCTAAAATGGAAACCCTATCACTTTTTAATCTTACCCACTATATTAGTTATACATTGAATGAATGAATGAGTGAATGAATGATTTCATATCCTTCCAACAGCACTTTAAGGTCACTATTTTACCCTGTTCACAAATAAGAAAACCCTCAAAAGCTTCAGCGAAGATCAAACAACAACTAAGTTACTAAGCCAGGACTTGAAATTATGATACGGGCCTGGATCTAACACCTGCCATCTAATCAGAGCCTTAAAGGGCTTCTAAATCGTGTCTCACACTTATGTTTATTTTAAACAGTATCTACTGAACTCTAAAATGAAGATATTGCTTGATTATTTTGTATTTTGTGGAAAATCAGATTGGGGGAAGAATAAGTCACTTTTCTGAACACTATGGCAGCACCAGGGCCCAAAAACTGTGTTTAGTCTCCGAAACTGTTAGCTTCTGGACACCCTAGCAGCAGAATCTGTACTATTTAGGACAAGGCTTCTCAAACTTTTCTCTGTAGTAACATATACAAGACGGATTATGAGCATAAGCTCTGGAGTAAACTGCCAAGGTTCAAATCCTGACTGCTACTTACTAGCTGCGTGATCTTGGGCAAGTTACTTAGCTCCTCAATTTCTCTGTTTCCTCATCTGTAAAATGGGGATAATTATAATACCTCAAAGAACTACTGTGAAAATTAAAAGAGCTTAGATATATAAAGTGCTCAGAAAAGTAATATGCTCTCAAATGTTAACTATTAATAGTCTCAAATTTCAATACTTTAACAAGTAATATACACACCTTAAAGCAAATATAAATGCATCACTGTATCATAATCCCAGGAATAGGAGCCACCCTTTGTATTGGCAGTATATCTTTAATTGAATTGATTTAACTTAAAAATTAACATGGAACTAAAATTCAGAAGAACTGAACCAGGAGAAGAAATTTAATTCCCAGAGTTACTGCCACCTCCTATCTTTTTATTTTGGACTTGAAGCACTCTAGTCAATCCTAAGAGCCAAAAAAGAATGGAAAGGAAACCAGACTCAAATCTTTTAGAGATTCATAAATCACATCTACCTTTTTAATTCTCCCCTGAAACAAATCAGAAGCCAGAATAGTCCATAGAATATTGTGCTTAAATCCCCTGTGCAAACATGCCTGATGTACTCTGTCTGCAGAGACACAAGCTTCTGGGTGGTCTACACAGGGTAAAAGTAAGCCAAAATCATAGCAAACAGACATGAGCGACCATTTACTTCTCAAATAATTACAACAAACTTTCTATGTTTTTAAGTGCTGAGAGCTTATCAACTGCTTCAGGAGAGCAAGGAAATTGTCTATCTTGTTCATCACTGTTTCCCTAGACCTGGAACAATCCTGGCACTCAGTAGGCCTTCAATAAGTGTTTGCTGAAAAAAATAAACCAAATATTAGACAAATTAATATTACTTTCAGCAAAGATGATGACAAAAAGATGAGAAAGAAACTTGTCTGTACTGTAAGGAGGATGTTAAGAATGTTGGATATTTATGAATTGTTGGAGGTTATTCTTGATAGTGCTAATTTTACATCTAAGAAGATATATAAGCATAAAAATCTTTTAATGGTAAATTATCAAGGATGTTAGCCAAAATATTTAACAACTAATAATAAAAAGTTAACATGTGTTTATGGATATTCACACCTAAATCAAAACCTAAAAATGTATTTCTTTCTGATTTCTATATTAAAACTGCTGTCAAGTAAGTTAAATTGAAATTCAGACCACTCAAGTCATTCCAATAATTCCCAAATCAGCTTTTAATTTTTAGAAATGTTGGTGTAATCTTTGGTTTGCTGCAACTATCACTGGCTAAACAATGCACTAATCTAAGTCACAGTTTGATCTAAGATCCACACCAAACTCTTGTAACAGCTTCTCCATTAAATTCAGTGTTATGACTCCCCAGCTCCTTATGTTTGTTACATTCAAGACAGATCAGAAAAAAATTTGAGCATGGTGATCAGGTATGTTCCTGGACATCAGAGTCTGGACCAAGGACAGAGAGCACCCATGACGACTGTAAGGCCACCAAACCACCTACCTACCACACCATTGAGTTTGGGGCCACCTTGGAGCAGAGGGCAAGTGCTGCATCTCCACAACCATCAAGACCACCCTCGCTGCCTTAGTACCCTCAGCAGCTCTGGAGGACCAACTGTGTCCACACCAGCACTCTCCTAGGCCCTATTGCTCTTCTCCACCAGGTAACAGCATTGGGTGACTTGTAGTCCCAATAAGTAGAGGATTTCTCTTTACTCAATAATACAGAAGAATTTTAATGTTTAAAAAACAGGTTTTACACCACAGCTATGTACCAACTGAAAATCAGCCCTGAATATTACCAACATGGGATTATAACACTATGTTGAAACATCTTTGACACAAATGAATCATTAATCTGTTCATCTGGAAGATAGTTTGAGTGGTTATTCCAAAGGTATGCATTAAAAAAAACTTCACTTTATAAGTTACTAGGACCATAGGAACAAACTAATGCCAATTAGGGTAACAGAGTAGCTAAAGAAAGTGGTCAGGGAAGGCTTGTTTGAGAAGCAGAAATCTGAGCAGAGATTCAAAGGAAGCGAACAAGAAAGCCATGTAGATACCTGAATGAAGAACATTCCAAGCTGAGCTGCAGAGGAACTCCAAAGGCCCTGAGGCTGGAACATACTTGGCATGTTGAGGGATGGCCAGGTGGGCAGTGTGGTGGGAAAGTAATGTGTGAGGGGAGATCAGTGGGAGACGAGTAGGAAAGCTACACACAGGCAGGTCACATATGGCCTTGAAAACAATGGTAAGGAATCTGGATTTGACAGTAGGTGTGATGGATGGCTGTGGGAGGGCTGTGAGCGGGCTGTGAGCAAACAAACGACATGTCAGATTTACATTCTGATGGGGTTACACAAGAAACTACGTATCTGTATATCTTTTGTGCATCTTTTAATATTTTTTATTATTATTTTTAACTCTTTGAATCCTCTACTCCGCTGTGTCAGATGCTGCTTTGAGACTGAGTAAAATGAATCTTGATAACTGAACACTGGATTTGGCAATATGGTGGCCATTTGTGATCTTGACAGAGGAAATTGCTGGGAAGTACTGCGGAGGGGAAATCCTAACTGAAGTGGAGTCAAGGGAAAATTGGAGCAGATGATTGCAGAGATAGCAAGTATGGACAACTCTTTCAAGTTTGCTGTAAAATGGAGCAAAAAATAAAACAAGTTGGAGGAGCATGAGGTGTTAAGGAAGGAGATGTTACATTCCATTTGTATGTTGACCAGGAAAATCCAGTAAAAAAGATTTTCTGAAATGATGATCTAGGAACAGGGTAGGGTATGTGACAGAGGTCAATCTATGAGGGAAGTGAAATGGAGAGGACCTAGTCTGCAAAGGTGAAGAAGTTGGCATTAGATAGTAGCAGGGACAGTATGTATCTTTTCAATACAAAGGAAGGGAAGAAAAAATGTTGGTACAGATGAACAAAGGCTGGTAATTTGGTGATGGGAAGATATGAAAGTTTTCTGATGGCTTTTATTTTCAAGAGTCATATACAAGGAAGGCATGTCAAGACTTAAAAGAGCTGTTACCATGATGCTGGAGGGCCAGGACATTAAAGTCTGCCTAACTGAAGTCATAGGGGTGTGTGGGGTGGGGGGAACAACACTATGTGACTCTGATTAATTAGTAAATGATGTCATATTTTAGGGGCATAAGAAAGTAGAAGTATAAACAGTATATACCACACACTCAAAAATTCAGCAAGTATAAACTCCTCAGGTGATTTTAATTCTCTAGTTCTGGGATGTTACAATTTTTACTTATACTTAAATCACAATGACAGACTAGACACCTGTTTTTCCGGTCACATAATTAAGCTTACATCTCAGTATTACCACTTAGCTTACTATTTTATGATCTGAAAATTAATCTTATAAGGTCAAAAACTCAAATACAGCTATTGTGGTTTTTTTTTTTTTACTTTATTCTACTTTTTTTCCAACCTACTAAGGAGAATGTTTATCTATGTCAGTTTCCTGATCATTCTCCCTGAATTTGGGTGTGGCCAGACTATCCTACTAGCAGCATTATATCTACCTAATTAGAGAACAATGAAGTTGACCTTTGACAATATGCACATGTCACTATCAGAAAGTGTTTTTTCTTCATCTATTTTAAGGATTATGTTTGTTCTCTGTGCATATAAATAATTGATACATTATTAAATTTGAGATGATCTACCCAATCTTCAGTAGAATGACAGCTAAGAGTAAATAAATCAACATTTGAAAATATTTTCTACAATTGTATTTAATCTCAATTTCTGGTAATACTTCAAGTTTATTTATTAACACTCATTTAAAAAAACCTAAAACTAAACTGTCTATGATAATTTCATGTATTGTTGTACAGTTTTCCTTCCACTGGTTCATCTGTCAACACCTCTCCAACAAATTAGAGCCCTCTTATGCAGGATTATTGTAAATATTGACATCTGCACATTTCTAAAAAGTACCCAGGTGTACAGTTCTCGATGTCAGCATAATTTCTCCAATATCTTTGGTTAGATGTAGTTGTTTAACAAAACAGTGCGTGTTAAAGATGTATTTACCCATTACAGCATCTAACGAATTAACGAATTGTAATTGGTAATTTGCTTGTTTGTATTCCACTCTAGATGACAAACTCTATGAGATCAGGAACTGTGTCCATCTAGCTCATCTTTGTATCCTCAACTTGACATACAGTAAGAGTCAATAAAATATATGCTGAATCAGTGAAAGTCCCAGAACCTTGGAGAATGGTTAGTAAGACCCATAGCAATCCCACTTACCCGTGAGATCCAGAGTTCTGTCTACAAAGACCACTGATGCCCTGCCTGTGGCAGTCTTCCTCCTGTTCTTGGCAGGGCCATAATTAGCCAGATCTGCAGCGATGATCCGACTGAGGGAACCTACAGCAAAACACTCCTCCCGCACCCCTAAATGCTCACACAGAGAACTGAGGCCTGACACCAGGCACCTGATCTGCAGAAGCAGCTCAGGGGGCAGGGCGGTGGCATCCACCTCACTCAGGCTTCCTAGCCTCCTCTTGTCTGGTCGGGCACTGTTAAGGAGATGCACATCCTGGGGTAGCAGTGGAAAAAGGGAAGCAAAGGCTGGAGTCAAGGCAAGGTGGGGAGCAACAGGTGCGAGCAACAACGGGACGTGCAGCACCTCGGCGGTGTAGTTCATATTGCCCATCCACTCACACAGTTTCTCCTCCAGTTGCTCGAACACCGGCTGCCCTTCCAGCTCTGCCGCGGCAGCCGCCGGCACGTGATTAGCGGTGAGGTGGACAGCGTGGTTCACGGCTGTGACCACCACACAATACTGGAAGTGACTGCGGCAGATGATATCCCGCAGGGTCTCCACGGTCCGGCCTTTCAGCAGGCAGCTCAGCACAAACACTGCCTTAGGCTGCTCGGCTCCACCACCGACAGCTGCGGGCTCGAACTCCCGCAGGTGACACGCAGGCCCTCCCACGGCCTCCAGGAGTCGCGTGGATCCGCAGCCCCAGTGCAAGCTCTCCGCGCAGGCGGCGTCCAGATAGACCAGAGCCCATTTCACTTTGGCCAGCACCTGCTCCCAGCCTTGCTGGGTAAAGGAGAGCACTCCCGGAGCGCTCATGATTGGGGGTTCGCAGAGTCGGGACACTAGAGTACAGGAACTTCTTTTAGAACTCACAGCTTCCGGGAATTGAGCTCCTTGACGCTTTGACAGTCAACACAGTACACGTGGTACTGCCTCCGACTTGTCCAGTGTCGGCGCACAGTGATGACGTAGACGGACCGTGATTGGCTAGCGAGGAGAACCTCGCTGAAGGACGGTGGGGCTGGGAAGAAGTGGGTGGGGCTCCGTCGCTCCGGCTAAGTGGAAAGATCTGTGAATAGCTCAACTGTTTTCTTTTCCTCTCCTTCTCTATGCTCGGATTACCTTTTCCTGCATCTTCAGAAATCTCGGGAATAGTAAAAGCTATTCCGAAATTTAATATTTTCCTTGGATCTGAACACATCTCTAAAAGTCGTTCTGCCCATCTAAACTAAGAGACGCCAGAGAAGATAAAAACAACCAAGTGATACGTGATGTTTTGTAGTTTATAAATGGCTGTCTCATACGTTATAGCGCTCAAGCCTCATGAAAAACCTACTGGTCTCGTTTTCACTTTCTCCATCTTCCCTCATCTCATTGGCACTAAACCTTCATCCACTTCAAAAATCCTAGAATCCAGCCCCTTCGGCCCTTCCATCCTTGCCATCACTGGCTTAATCCAACATCATCACTCAACTGGGCAATAGCAATGATCCCCTATCATTTCCCAGTCTTAATCTCTTCTCCCACCAATTCAGTTTTCTTCCTAATGTACCAAGCTGGCCCTACCATTTTCCGGCTTAAAAGCCTCTCCTGGTCCAGTTGCTTGCAGGATACAGCCTGACTTCTTATAATGGCACCAAAATCCTTCATGATTTCTCAATTTCTCTCCACCTAATCCCTGCCTGGAATATTATATACCTGCACAATTAAGTCAACAGATTGAGCACAGAATGTTTCACAGGTTTTGTTCAATTCAGCCACTATTTATTAAACACTTACTAAGTATAGTCACTGACGTAGGCTCCAAAGGCACAATGGTTAATAAATTCCCTGATCCATGAAGAATTTTCACCTCAGCTAAGTACTTGCCGTATCATGAGGTAGGTTTTAGCATACCCGTTTTCCTACAAGATTGTGCACTAGAGGCCTGGTTTCTCCAACACTAGAAAATATGCAAGTATTCAATAAATGTTTGTTGACTAAATGATCAATAAATCTTCAATTTATATCCATATAATAAGTGATATATTCAACTTTTAATATACATGTACAATATTGCAGACACTGTGTTTGGCATTGAGAATATAAATAGAAATAAGGCACAGTCTTGCCTTCAAAAGGATCTGAAATAAAAGACCCACATATGTAAAGAAAGCAAATGTGATATAATGTTACAGAAGCAATAAATTGTTTAATGGATAAGAGTTACAAAGGAGGAAAAATAAATTCTGATTGAGTGAAGGAAAAAGGGAAGTGGTCAGAAGTTTCATATAAGACATGAGTTTTGACTTGTCTTCCAAGAAAACCAGGTGTTCACCAGGTGGACAGGATGGGGAGGAGTATTCCTCGTAGCTCAAACACAGAGTGCAGCATGGACAAAGGTGTAGAGGCATACAACACGTTCTCTGGGACTACAAACAGTTTAGTATAGCGGGAATATATTGTATGAAGAGAGGCCCAAACTGAAACAGGAGCTCTGAGCTAGTAAAAAGGGACTAGATCAGAGTGAGTCTTATTTTTGATTCTAAGCAGTAGCAGCCTATGGAGTACAGTTAAAGTATTGTTAGGAGTGAATATAATTTGTTCACGTCTGGAGTTTGGGGGGGGAAGTATTCTAAATGGAAAATAGCTTAAATGAGTAAGATTTAGGACAGGAAGAGTATTTAGAAAGCTGTCACAGCAACAACTCTGGGTGAGAACAGATAAGGATACCCACAGAGGGGCTAGACAGCATGGGGTATATAAAGAAATGTTAAGAAAATGGAGCCAAAAAGCCTGGTGACTGGATTGACAAAAAAGGATGAGACAGAGGGAGAATTTCAGGTTCATACCCAGTTTTCTGCCTGGATGACTGGTAAGTGGCTGTCCCTTAGATTTGGAAAACCAGAAGAGAAGCAGGTTGAGGAATAAATGTATTGAGTTCAGTTAGGACACGGTTTTTTGTTTTGTTTTTAATTGTGGGAAAATCTGTAAGATTTACCATCTTAACCATTTTTAAGCACACAGTTGAGTAAAGTTAAGTATTTGCACAATATTATACAACCAATCTCCAGAATTTTCATCTTGCAAAACTGAAACTTTATATCTATTAAACAACAACTACCCATTTACTCTTCCCAATGGCTGGTTTTTTCTCTTAGCGTAATATCATCAAGGTTCATCCAACATATGTGTCAAAATTTTCTTCCTTTCTAAGGCTGAATTATATTCCATTGTATATATCATTGTGTATACTACATTTTCTTTATCCATTCATCTGTCAATGGACATTTGTATTGCTTTCACATTTTGACTGTTGTGAATAGTGCTGGTAGTTCCGTGGGTGTACAAATAATGCTTTGAGACCCTGCTTTCAATTCTGTTAGATATGTACCCAGAAGCAGAATTACTAGATCATATAGTAATTCTATTTTTCATTTTTTTGAGGGCCCTCTGTTTTCCATAGCTGCTGTACCACTTTAGATTCCCACCAACAGGACATAAGGGTTCTAATTTCTCTACATTCTCACTAACATTTATTATTTTCTTTTGTTGTTTTTGATATTAGCCACCCTATTTGGTGTGGGGATTCATTGTTTTGAAGGTACTGTGGGACATCCTGGTGGAAACATCTAGTAAGCAGTTGGATATATGATTGTGGATTGCAGAAGAGAAGTCTGATAATTTGGGAATCATCAGCAAACAGGTGTGCTTGAGATTGCTTAAAGAGAGCACAAAAAAGAAAGACAAAGAGAGTGATGGACAGAGCTCTGAGCAACATTTCCAGGTCTGCTGAAGAAGTGAAACCAGTGAGTAGACTTATGGGGGAAACAAGTTTCAAAGAGGACAGAGTAATCAACAGTGAGGAGTGTCAGAAAAGTGAAAAATGAGATGGAATCTAAAAAGCGGGGGGAGAATATGAAATTGGGGTCAAAGAAAATAGCTTGGCCCCTAAAATTCAAGGAAGGAACAGTTTTGTGATGTAATAAGATCCAGAGCATGGCCTTGAATGTGGACTGATAAAGTGGAGTAAATGGAGGTTGCTGAATAATTGGATTCTAGGAGATCAAAAAATCTGAGACAAGCAGGATGTGCAAGTCACTCATGATGCCAAGTGGTAGAGAAAAGGAAGATTGTGGATCAGACTCCAACATTATATCTGTGAATGAGGGGACATGAAGAGAGAAAGGTAGAGGTAGTAAATGAGGGTGCCAAGTACAGGCAAGGAGGATTTTCGCAGGAAAGTGGAACCATAATGGTCCAGCGGTGGCCCACAATAGCCAGGGAAATGGCAATGCTACCTCCCAGTTCTGCAGTACAATAGGGTGAAGGGAAATGGTGAGCATCTGGTATAGAAAGAGTAGGAGAAGTGCTATCCTTGAGGGAAGTTAGATTTCAGTTTCAGTGAATGAGTAAAGACATCCTTCTGCTAAAATGTTGAGAATACTGGACATGTATATATAATGGAACAAAGGTACGGACCAAGAGGTAAATGAAGAGTTGGGATTCAGGCCTAAAGAAATGGGGGGGAGGGATAAGCCCAGAGAATGTGAGGGAATGACACTAAAAGGGTTGACAAAAGTGACTAAGAATGAGGAGATGTGGAGGACCCTAGAAGGTTGTGTAGTGCATGACCTATATGGCCACATGCAACCCCAGGGCTACCAGATCATGAAGGGACTTGTAGGTCACATGGTAGAAGTTTGGATTTTACTTTATGTGTAACAGGAAACCACTGAAAGGTTTGTGTTACTTGAAATGCAGTGTGGCAGTAGAGATGGGGGGAATTAGATTTGGGATATATTTTACTGGAAGAGCTAATGAGTCTTGCGAATGGACTTTCTTAGGTATGAGAAGGACTCATAAGGGAAAGAGAGGAATCAAGGGTCATTTGGGTTTTGGCTGGAACAATGTTGGATAATGGTTACTGATACTAAGAGGGAGTATGGAAGTGGGATAGAACAGGTTTGGGAAGGCAATTCACAAGTTCTGTGTGGGGCATAAATTTCATATGCCTATTAAATATCCAAGGAAGGCATCAGTGAAACATCAGAGTGAGCTCAAGGAAAAGTTGAGACTGCAGATGGAAAGCTGGGAGTCATTGGCTGTCAGTGACGCATATCATATAGATAGTATAAAAAGTCATGGGACTAGGGGTGCCTGGGTGGCACAGTCTCTTAAGCACCCGGCTCTTGATTTCAGCTCAGGTTGCGATCTCAGGGTCTTAAGATCAAGCCCCATGAGGAGACCGTATCAGGCTCCATGCTCAGTGGGAAGTCTGCCTGAGATTCTCTCCCTCTCTCCTGGCCCCTCCCCCTGCTCACGTGCTCCTTCTCTCTTGCTCTCTCAAATAAATAAGTATATCTTTAAAAAAACAAAGTCATGGGACTGGATGAAATGACCCTGGGAGAAAGGGTAGAGAGAAAGGGAAGAGAATCCAGGAAAAACCCATTTCTTGCCCTCCGATATTATGGTGGAGTCAAGTCCTGCTGAAATTGCATACTTAAGATAATCAGATTTACCTTATTTCAATGTGATTGTACTTCTTTGCTCAAAATAAATAGCAATTATTTCCTATTCCTCATAAAACCAAGCATATCTCCCTTTGCCCAATTTCTAAGTCCTTCATGTGCATGACCAATATTTAGCTTAAGGATTTACTAAGCACTTATCTGGTGAATACAGAAATAAACTTGTTCTCACCCTTAAAGGGTGTGCAGTTTATGTAATAGTATAGATGTGAATAGATGACACAATTTTCCAGAAAGAACTAGCAATATAAAATTTTGTATTAAAATATGTCAGAATGCAGAGGAAGATGGATAATGGGGGCTTAATTCCCCATTGAAGTATCTAGAAAGGAAGGAAAACTCTACATATGTGCAGTTATTCAGGTTGTTTAAAGGATAAAAGGCCTAACCAAAGCA